GAGAGCGTTCTAATAGTGTATATGAGAGCGTTCTAATAGTGTATATGAGAGCTTTCTAGTAGTGTATATGAGAGCTTTCTAATAGTGTATATGAGAGCGTTCTAATAGTGTATATGAGAGCTTTCTAGAAGGGTGTATATGAGAGCTTTCTAATAGTGTATATGAGAGCTTTCTAATAGTGTATATGAGAGCGTTCTAGTAGTGTATATGAGAGCGTTCTAGTAGTGTATATGAGAGCGTTCTAGTAGTGTATATGAGAGCTTTTTAATAGTGTATATGAAAGCTTTCTAGTAGTGTGTATGAAAGGTAAAGCTTTTCACCAGTTTATATGAACAGTTCTCACTACTTTGTATGAGAGCTTTTGAGTAGATTATATAAGAGGTAAATGTTTTCACTAGTTTATGTGAGAGCTTTTTACTAGTGTTTGTGTGAGGTTTTCAGTATATTATATGGAAGAGTGTAATTTAATATGTGTATATGCAAGTTAATTCTGATTTATGTCCCTGGGAGCACCTCATACTAGTTTCCCTTTGTCTTTCTGCTTTGGTCACCTGACACAGATATCTGCCAAGCCAGCTGCTCTTCATTTACAATTTCCTTCAGAAAAGCCAGTTCTAAGCAGAGTTATGCTGGGCTTTCAGTGCTGCTTTGCTCTTGCTTATGCAATTCTGCTTCAGTGTTTTTTAAGCTTTAAAAATATTTGCAGTTTGTCCTGTTTGGAATGTGAATTCTTTTTCTTCAAACTTTTTACATTGCTTGATTAGGTGAGTTCTTCTGTTTTTCTACATTCTTGGCTTCTTAATAATAAATACTGACATGTTGTGGTTATGTTAGGTAAAGGAACTAGAAACAGACTACATAAATGCTGTTAATTACTTCCTGATGTTTTTGTAAGGTAAATCTAAGTTAAGTCTGCAACACGTTCTGAAGAAGTGACAATGTTTTTCAACAGGGGTTCAACATAAAAAATTTTTTTTTATTTTAAATCACTTTTAATAAATTTACTTACAGCCACCCTTTGTCTCCATGATCAAAAATAAGGAGCACAAAAGCCTCATGAAAAACAGAAATATGTGTCAAAATATCAAATTAGTTTTTCTTTTTTTTCTTATTTAATTAACTGAAAAAATACATATGGACACAATTAATACAACTAAAAAACATCAATTTTATTACTGCTTTGGGGCAATTTTTGTAGCATATTTATTTGGATGGTTGCATAATCTTAACTTTCTTATTTAAAGGTTGGATTACTTGGAAGAAATTTGAATCAACGAAAATGTGTTCCTTGTCTTCAAATGATGTCATTTCTTTACTGGGGGGGGGGGGCATATTGTGCATATCATTGTGCATACACTTGGACCAGGATGTGCTGTACTTGGGATTCCCCTCCTTACAGGTCCACCAGAAACAGTAGGAAATATAGTGTTAACATGTGATTTGACATAAATTAACAAAATTACTTATGAAGTGAATAAATCTTAGTCCGCTAAACGTAGAAACAGAGATCAAGTGGTAGTATTGGAGATCAAGTAATGTGGGTCCATACTGGTGCTAAATTTTGAGTGGCAGTAATCAATATGACTTCAATATTTGGCGTACAGTAGCAGCAATTCAAAATGGCCCTTACCAGTCAAACGCCTGCCAAACGGCAGCCCACTTCCCTCCAACTCCCAGCAAAATCCCCTCCAACTTAAAGCTACTAGAGTGACCCCCTCCTACATATTATTTTACTCTGACTCCACCGTTTACAGGGTCTGACCAGGAGATTAGGCTTCTATTTAGATCTTAACGTCCACAAATCATGACATAATGTTTTAGTACCAAGATTGATGGTTAAAAAAGAATTGTAGGGGACCAGCCAAGGGCTCATCAGGTGGGGGAATTTTGAATGGCTACCACTGTACAAGAATCGTATTAGTCTGTTGGTGATCAGTATCTTAAAATTGTGAGAGTGTTCTTGTTTAACAGCATATGTTCTGCATAGATAAAAAAAAATCAAAATTAGATATAGGCTACAATATATGTGTGTTTCACCACCTTTTCTGCAGTACTTTACTCTTGTCTTCTCTTACTTAAACAAGAACTAGATCAATCTTTATCAAACTGAAGTAGAATCAAGAAGTATTTGCAGCTACCACATATATTAATCAGAAGTGCACATTTTTTAGATGTATCTTAATAATATGGTGTAGTTTTATTCATATAGTAACATTTCAGTGAAAAATTATGCAGTTGATGAAACACCAATGTTAATTTGTAAACCCTTTTATTAGAACACATGTGACTTTAAGTACAAATTTATGCAAAAAATGGAGCCATAAAGGATAAAGTAGAAGGAGGTGGCATTTCTGCCATTCACACATTTAAGAAATGTAAACTACAGTCCAAATTTGGTTTCACAGAGTTTAAAGTTCTAAATATGTTATAGTAACACTTTTTTAGTTACAGGAATGTTTACAGCTATCAATGAAAGCAATCGGTGTTAGTTCTGTTTCTGCTGCTACTGTGGGCTTAGCCAATGGTTAAAGCATTTTAAAGGAAAAGTCCAGTCATATTCAGAATTCAAAGTTCTGAAAGTACTTTAAATATGAAATTAATATATACTGTTCAATAAATAAGTGTTTTTGTTAAGAGTAATTTCATTTGAATGTGCTTTACTCTAGACATCCATGTTTGTCAAGGAACACTACTGCCACCTACTGGTTTGTGACGTCACGGTGCGGTATTGGCTGTTGAGCAAGTCCCAATGCTGTATCTGGTGTTGGTCACAACGCGCTATTATCCAAGTCATCTTGAAAACATTCTTCTTTGAAATGTTTGCTATATATTACGTGTTTTTTCTCTGGCCAGAAGGTTGATGGCAAATCCTCCCTCTTCAAGTTGGCATTCCAACAACGAATCCGTCCGTGCAGAATCATGAATTGGAAAGGTGAAATAACAAATTTTTCTTTTCACTTTTACCCGATTTATTACAATATCCAACTGCTATGCACGTGGGAATGCTTAACTATAGTTCTCGCAAATTTCAATGGTGAAGTCCTCTCAGAATCTTAAATAATTGTTGTTATTTGCAGACGTGTCTAGTAGTTCCCATTGATTTTGCTTGTGTGGCGGGGAGAATGGTGCTAGGCTAACCGCACCAAGATGTCACTGCCAGAAGATGTCATGAGTGAGGTGGTACTATATTTGTGCAAAAATGTCCGGTCCTGGACTCAGTAATCACAACGAAATTTGTTTTCATTTTTTTTTTTTTTTATTAACGCTAAATTCATTAAATCACCACAAACATATTAGTTTTAGGTACAGATAATGAACCATTGATCATTTCTTGCTGACTGGACTTTTCCTTTAATCAGAGGGCCTCGCTCTTAAATTTCATTGTTCCTTTTTTCTTGTAGACTGCATTTTTATTTGAAATGGGAAAAGTGTGCGGAAATCCCCTCTGTGTATTTGCTGCTGTTTGTCTGAAGACATTTAAGATTATTGCATTCCCTTTGATGTGGCCTTATATAAAGTGTGTAAAACAGCATTTGTCCACAAGTGACAAAACAATTTCTGAGTGTGAGCTGAGGGAATAGCTAATAGGCATGCTAAACTCACAGAGGAGTGTGACAGGAGTGGGAGGTTTGGATGAAAAGATTACTTTTAAAAAGTGACATGGCTTCGATATGAACTATGAGTTCTTGAACAGTTCATGATTTGATAAATGAAATTAAAAACTGCTTTTATGAATAGAAATGTGAGGCGACATCAACAAATGTCAGGCTTCCATAAATTATGTTGGCAAAGTGTTGAGTGAGCTCCGCAGATGTGAAACCCTGAACAAAATGTCATTTTGCTGAAGTTAGTCATTAGAACAGTGGTTTTCAGCTTAAATAGGCAAGATTTATTCTTGGCTTTTCTTTAATTGATGAATGTTTTAGCACCTGAGAAAGGGCTGCAAGTCGTGAGGCCCTCTGGACACCGTTTTCCAAATGAAATGGAGAACTTACTTTGATCATCAAAAGAGGACTTCAGACCTCTGAGCAAAAGCCAAGTTTCTTGTGAGCGCGTGCACGAGCCCATTTCTCTTCGTGCACACTCTGTTTAAAAGTTTCTGTTTGCATCTCTCATACAAGCCTACTTTGCAAAAAAAAAAAGATTTGAAATTTTTCCACTATGTCAGACATACCGGTAAGTGAAAGTGGGGATGAGCACGTAGGAAGGCCTTATGTAAACATATCACCAGAATGATTGACAATTAGGAGGACCACTTATTTAGATGATCCACCAGGGGGGAAAAACACATCCTCCACTAGATCTTTAATTTTCAGTGCAAATGATGCTAGGTTACAGCATGTGTGACCTTCTGTCGCTTATCTTCCTTTTGGAGAATATAATGATGCCTTATGGGCATCTGTCTAGCAACCTTTGCTATGGTTTTGCAGCTTACTGAACCAGATTGAAAGACGATTTAGGGACTAAGAAAAACCTTTGCTGTTATTTTGAGTTAAATAGCTGACCAGTTCATGAGTTTTTGATATTTAACATTTTTTTTTCAAATATTGAAGTTTTCTTACAGTTTTCAAACAGTTATCAAACCTTTTCCTGGTGTTCCTATTTGATTGAAACAGAGTGTACATCTGATTTGTTTGTAGGCTTCAACAAGGTTTCATTTATTTTACACAAGTACAGGGATGCCAGTTTGGCAATGTTGAATACACATGGGTACAGCAAGACCAGTGGCTGTTTTCTTGTAAAAAAAATGTTGGATTATGACATAAAATAAACATTTATTATTAGTTTGAATATCCTGAAGTGGAGGGCTGATTCCCTTTAGGATTAACAAACACTTATGGAACAGTAAGTCCCAGTAAGACATGAACATATAGAGGAAGACAGCAATGGTTTGGCACTAAAATCTGTGATGGGACATGAATCTGAGCAGGGAAACTATTGACTGGGAGGTGAGGCTGGCGCTCCTATAAAGCAGGGAAATGGAAGCAAGAAGGGCGGAGGGTGAGCTTATCCTCCCGTGTGTGTGAAAGGAAGGAACAGACGAAAGAGAGACCTGCTCACACACAGTCTCTCGCTCCCTCACACACACACACGCGCGCTCTCTTTCTCTCTTTTTGACGGGGAGAACCGGGAAGGGAAGAATGAGGAAGAGGTCCGCTGCGCTACGCGCCTCGTCTCAGCGAATGCGGGTTTGCTGATGAAGCGCTGCTCCGGTCATCCGATCATACAGGTCACTCAGGTCGCGCTGCATGGAAACAAGGAGTAGGCAAGAAGAGCAAAAGATAACTGCAACAAATAAAGGGGAGGAAAAGTGTTTGTGCATGGGAATCCGGAGTACTCTTCCCTCCCTTTGTGCGTCTCGGTGGTTGGATACGCTGCCTTGACTAGCGTATAAGAGCTCCCTGCGTCTCCATTATCGTCCCTCACTACTGGCTTTACCTCGGCACTACTCCTCCTTCTCCTGCAAGTACTCCTTACATTAGAAGAGCTGTATTACTACTTAACTACGAGCCACCAACTCCGGATTGGAAAGGTAAGCCATGGAACAGTTTCCTTGGTGCCTTTTTTAAAATATTTTTTTATTTAGTTGCGGGGGTCCAGGTCTGATCCGCTGCATTGTGTTGAATGCAAGTTTTTAGGGAGGGGCTGGAGTAAATGGGATGGAACAAGGGGGACAATCTTAGAGACCCGAGATGGTCTTGGAAGCACCATGCGTCAGATGGACCTGGATGCGTTTCCTCACTCCATCCTATCCACGCGTTTCCAAGCTGCGCCTTTAATCTTTGATTTTATTTTTCTAAAATATCATGTAAGTTTTTAATTAAACCGACTCCTTACGTTTTACGTTGTGAGCAGCTGCTGATGAGTTTTTTTTTTCTTCGTTATTCATCTTGTTATCCCATTGATTCCTTCCCCCACCCCATGCCCCCCATGTTTAAGCCCATCCACCTACCTCACCTATTTATAGAGTGATGGTTAAGGATTCAGAGCACGTTCGGATCGCCGCGCTCTCGCCTCTTTATATGCGTTCAGTCTTGATACTGGGTGACAAACATGCGCAGCACCTCCTTAGCCAACGAAAAGGATGGATGCGCACCGAGAGGCACTTTTGCGCAATCCCGCAGGCCTTGCATCCTTTGCCCCAAACAGCCTGGGCTGTTTCAGTGGGGGGGCTGCTGGAATGCCTGTGCGCTTTAGTCATCAGGTGAACATCTGTAGCATAAAAGACTTCCTTTGGATCATCATAAAAAATAAAATTAAAATAAATTTTATATATATATATATATCACATGTAATTTATAAAATAGGTTTCTTATAGTGAAGCAATCCATGCCTACGAACCATTCTCTTGTGCAATCAAGGCTTTTCCAGACGCTCACCCCCCCCCCCCCCCCCCCCCCCCAGCTGACTTAATTTGTTTGGTTTTTATGGGTATGACAAGGAGGAACTGTGGGACATCATCTATGGAATATGAAAAATGTATTCATGACGCTGAGAGGGTGAGAGTCAAATGCAGCCAGAGATCATAAACTGCTTTTATTTGTCCCTCCATCAGCAGTTAGGATGTTTAAAGCTGATGGAATTTAACATCTTGTGATGCCACAGTCATGCTTCCTTTTAGGCACTGGAGAGGGCAAAGAGGGGTGTTGCAAAAGGATTAAAATGTATTTCTAGCTGTATTTCAATAATTACTTGGCTCCACAATGAGAAATTTGACTTTTTTAAATAGCTGGTGATGTATCACAACTTTTTCCAGGCTTGCAGCCACTGCAGTGCAACAACTGATTGGTCAAAGGAAACCATAGAAAATGACTGTCTACAAAGATTTATGGTGCTTGGAAGACAATCACGTTTTATGTTATGAGGTTAATGGAAAAAGAAATTGGAAAAATATAAATGTTCAGCCTTTTTGGGGAGGTAGGCAATTTTGTTTGCAGTTATTATTTTTTTCTCAGCTCATCCAGCACACCAAATGGGACCCTGTTGACCATACAGTAGCTTACAGTAAACAGAACAATCTGATTAAGAGGAGCTGAAGTGGGTCTAATGCTGACAATATGTTTTTTTTTTCAGTTTTATTTTAAACACCTTTAAGTGGAAAGGTACAGTAGAGTTTATCTCTCTGCTTTTTAATAAAAATCCATCCACACTGAAAACTTAATGCGTATCAAAAGGGCAGATTGCATCTTGTGCTGTTATCAATAAAGGTTGGCTTTGTAGAGAGAGTTCAGATCAAACCGGTTTGTGCAAAAAGAAAAAAAAAAAAAAAGAATTTCAAAGAAAATAAGTTACCCAGACCGTCTTTACCATTTTAGGCTATAGGTACAATCCATTTTTCCCTGTTCATGGGAACTTTTGATATTACCTCTAAGCAATATATACCTGAATTTACAAGATGCCTTTAAGTTTTTTGCTATTTCATTGGCTGAAATACAAGAACACCTTTAGAAAAACAGACTTTCCACCAGTTACTGGTTAAATCTTATTAAAAATATACCATTGGAATGTTTTCAGTTACACTTGTTTTTGGTACTTGGAAATTTGCTCTGAATTTACTAAAAATCTGCTAAAATTGGAGCTCTGCCTGATGGGTCTTGCATCATTTTACTTTCCCGAGGTGGGAAATTACTGATACCTTGACACAACCTCAGCTCCAAAAATCCAAAGGATGATGTAGATTGCATGACCAAGACTTCTTCCAAACCATCCAAGTGTAATGATGGAGGATGGATATACGTAATGCCATTTAAAGAAATCCTGTTAATTCTTTCTCTCAGGGCCTCAGTGTGGGGTAGAATATAATAATCTTTTACTGTAACACAGTGGGAAAATAAGTAAATAAGTGAGCTTTAGTGAAGATAACTCAATACTTCATAACAGTGAAATGTGCCACCAGACTAATGCATGAAGTGCTTTAATTAGCAAGCATCATGTCTTTTTAATCCCTGACAAACAGAATCGGCAGTAATATTACCCTTGTGAGAGGGTGTTTACAGAAAATGTGGGCTAATTTTGCCCAGTGGCAGCTTTTTAAACGAAGTTGGAAAATATCCAAAAAGAACCCTGCTCTCATAATACTGGAATTAACGTGGAACAAGAGGCAGAAGTTTGTAGCTCAGGAAATACGTGTACCCATTCCTTAGCAGTCAGCAGGCGAATGACCTGGAAGAGCAGCAAGGGAGGAGTTTTATTCTTTCATGGAGGATCAGTTACTGGCAGGACCAGAAGACACCTTAAATCAGGGAAGACTTTTTAGAGTACTTTCAGTTAATTATATGTTTAATGCATATCAATATATCTGTGTGCATCATGAAATCCTCTTATTAATGTGCTTCTAAGAATTTATGGGGTTTTACTTGTTTACTAAATTCATTTAGGGCATCATTTCATAATGCTGAAAAGGCTGATTATTATCAGATTATCAGCCATTTAGGTCCAATAAGCATTTGCAGGTCTTTTCTCTGGTTCGGAACTCATCATCTGGATGAAGGGCAAACTGAGCCTACGTACCTGATGTGGCTAAAGATTGACCAATTTTGTTTAAGACCAATATCGATTATTTTGACATCAGTCTAACCAATCCCATATACGTAAAGACTGGATTGTCTTGCCAAAAATTGATCTCATGATATATTTCTTCACTTTAGTCAGTTCAATGTAATTCATATATTAAAATAAACCGCATAAAAGGCCTACAAAATGCAAAGAAAACAGAATCCCGAACAAACTTATAAACATTTCATGCCAAGTAAATGAAACTCCTTCTGCATAATATTTTAGAAACTATTGATTAAAAAAGTCATGATGGTTAATGCCAACAGATGCAGATGTCATGCTCTCTCTGTGTGGTTTACTTCACTGTTAACATGTGCTGCTGCTCTTTCTGCTTGGCTCAAATATTCCAAGACTGGAACATGGGTCAGGAACAAATACTAAAAACTATTCATAAATGTGATATCACTGTTTTTTAGTGAAATTATACTTTTATTAGATATATATATATATATATATATATATATATATATATATATATATATATATATATATATATATATATATATATATATATATATATATATATATATATATATATATATATGATATTGTCCATCCCTTTGCAATGTTCTGTTGATTTATGTATTTATGTTTTTTCTTACGGATTTTCAAAGCCAACAATCCTTTTTCTTCTATTTGCGTGATAAAAATGAATGGATGATAACAAATGTTAAACAATTATAAATTGAAAAAAGAAAAGAAACATTGAGAAAGTTACAAAACATTAACATTGAGTTGCAAATAAAGGAAGCATCTTTTTATGCACTTCAAGTGATCTGATAATAAGCAAGCCCATCAGCAAGTATTTTGATTTTGTTTAGAAAAATGTCTTGATCCTCAATGGATATTATCAGATAAAATGTAATGGTGATTCCACACCTGAGGATGGAGCTTTATTCAGGATTCAAAAGTGATATACCAGATAATTATTTCCGACCTCAAAACCACATTTAGCCATGAACTAGATAAAGTTTATGCTAATATCCTTTTAAATTTTAAGTCATTTTCCTGTGATCATGCTACAAATGTCCTAGTGTTTCTTATATGAGGTATAATCCTTAAAGCAAAAATGGAAAGAAACAAAGTAGGTCTTTTTTTTATTTATTTTTTATCCAAAATGTTTTTATAATCAGCTTAGAACAGTGAAGGACAAAGATGTCCCACTGTTCTTAGTAAACAAAGATGAAAACCACATGAAAAGTCAAACATGGAGGTGAAGTGGGTTCATTCTATGTAACATTGAACAGCCACCTATAGCAATACAGATTTTATATATCAACTTAATCAAATTCGTTCATCATCTTTTTTTTAAATGTAATGTTTATTTCATTAGTCTTTGACAGTAATTGTGAAGTTCAGTTAAAAAATAAAGGAATTGAGTGAGTGCAGTTATCCAGCTTGGCTGTTCTGCGGTGGATTTAATTCTAAATTCTAACCCTGCTCTGTTGTTCGACTCCATTTATAGTCCTGCTTCAGGCATTGTCTAGATTGCCTTATGATCTACTCCCATTTAACTCTAGTGATTTTGTTAGCAGAGGTGTTCAAGGTCAAGTCATTGACTGGTGTTGGTAACCCTTAACTATCAACTATTAAACATCCGCTGCCATCTTTCTGGTTTCCAAAAAGCCTGATGCTCTGCATTATTGCTTCACTTTTCTTTACACTCATCTCCCCATTTTTCTTTTCTTATAAAAGTTCCTCCTTTCATTTGTTCAGTAATTTTCTGATTGTACTGACACAAACTTAAATGCTTAGAAGCACAGGCCATAGGGTTTAGATGCAGCTCTTAGTGGGATTCGGTTTTCTATGATATCTTCTCCAGGTAAAATATGCAACTTAAGTTCTTTACTGTAGAATAATCTTTATTACTAAAAAAATACTAAAAGCAAAAAGCATTGATCTGTTTGATCAATTACACTCCCTTATTCATACAGTTTAATTGGAAGTATTATGTTTAGGCATGTATATGCTATAGACTG